TCACTGGTGGTCTGAAGCTCTTATGACATGACTTCAACATCCTCAAACATACGAGTTAAAAGAGCAATGCTGGAATTTCGCAAGCTATGATACTTCCACTGGTCTCCTGCTGAAGAATGAGCCTTGGCTTTGTTGGTTTACTTGATATCGTTCTTCCAGGATTTGTTCGGAAGGAGGTTTTGTCCACTTTTTACTTGTATCGACGACTGCTGTCTTTGGAGACCTCTGATTTAAGTAAATTTTCACTGGATTTGGGGCTGAGTAGTTAATGAACCGTTCATTCCATCTGTAGCATACAAATCTGAAAAAGGATAAATGTGGTGTTTCCCTTCCATGAACTATCTGAACTCCTTCATCGAAACAAAAAACGGAAAAAGAAAAACTATCTGAACTCTCTTGTCTGATTTTGCACACTGGATGCAAGCCTGGATTAATTCCACATTTTTCTTCGTTAACTCGGAGTTTAGCCGGGCATTTTGCTTGCAATAGAATAAAAACCGTTCCATCCAACTGGTTCTCAACATCACTCTGATGTAACAAAATGGTTACAACACATGGAAGTAGTAGATCACAATCGTACTTATACTGAAAATGAAGAGGGTACAATACAATACAATGGTGTTAATCAATACACCACCATACACGTACGTTCATACAGATACAACGATTTGCTGCAGCAGCGACTCGGAGCCGCTTTGCTGGATGGATATATAACAAATATAATCGCGAATTCGTGATTTCTGGCGAAGCTATAACATGGTCAGACAGCAGCACAGGATGACATTCTTCTTCATTAATTTCAACGAGATTGCATCCATCAGATGCTCTGCGGCCTGCCGTTCCGGCTGAAGATCCGGTTGAGGATGGCCGCCAGCCTGACGCCGCCCTGAGCGATCCTCTTCTCAACGACCGGCAGCGCCGCGGAGTAGTACTCATCTGCAGTTCAGTTTCAACAAAGGTCTCATCGCGCTCGTTCCAAAGGAATGATAATTGTAGTCTTATTGATTGATCTCGTACAGTAGAGTACCTCCTAAGGTGGAGTCCTGCTTGACGCCCTTGTACGCGTCGCAGGCGAGCGCCGCACTCTCCTGAGCGTACCTGCACTCATTTCAAGCCGTCAGCCTCTGAACATGTATCCAGTTTTGCAGCTGGAATGGATCATGGTGATGACTGGTGAGCCTACTTGTCAGCGCAGGTGGTCTTGGTTTTGCTGCGGCACGCCTCCCACTGCTTCTCCTCGCCGGACCAGTCCTTCTGCAAGAGATGAGCATAATCACAACTTACTCACCAAAAAAAAAAAAAAACCCTGCAGGAATTGGTAACTTACAGTGATGTTACGCTGGATGGCCTTGATCATGGTGTCCTGGTCTTTGCCGTAGAAGTCCTTCATGGCCTGCTCGATGACGTCCACGTCCCACACCTAGTGATTATATAGACGGGTAGTAAGCAAATGAATCATCGTGGATGGAGCTGAGACTGTCAGTGGTGGTACGTTACGTACGTGGTGCAGGTTGCTCTTCCTCCTGTACCAGCGGACGAGGATGGTGTTGCCGCCGAGGTCTTCCACGTGGCCGCAGTGCAGCGGCTGGTGCACGTCGCCCACGAAGTGGGCCAGGAACATCAGGCTCTCCGTCCGATCATCTGGACGAGGATACACATACCAGTGATATATCGAAAATCTCTTCTGACTGGTATGGCAAAGGGTGGCGGCGTACTTGTACTACTGTATGTATAGTAGTACTACTTACATGGGCTGGACGGGTCCTGGAGCGCGGCGGTGTAGTTGTTGATGGCTCCCACCACGCACGCGTCCTTGTTCCCCTTGGCGTCGTGGCAGTCCCCTGCCCAAAACCAGCAGGAGCATCCAAGCATTTCACATGACATAATAACGAGACCAAGTGCAGAAATCAATTTGGATGAGATCTTGTGTTAGGCTTTTTTTTTTGAAAAGTAATATTGTGTTGGGCTTTTTAGCTGTCCTTGCTCGTGAAACTCTACGACTGTTACATTAGCTCCTTGACGGCATCAACGATTGCTCAGGCAAACGCGCCGTGCGTGCATGCATGCCCCCTTGAGCGGGTGACGAGGGGCATAACCCCCTTGCCCAATCACACGAGCAAACCTATACTCGATTGCATGCCACCGTCCAGTCAAGCTAATAATAACTCGCCCCAAATGACAATATTCCTTCTCCATCAGAGAGGGAAACTGCCGGCCTTCTTATCTGAACGAATGATGATGATGCAGTTACACTCACCACACACACGGATAGGTTGGTTGCTTCAGTAGCAGCTGGACGCACGCTAGGCAGTTTTAAGAAAAGGTGTCTCTGGAAAACACAGTTTTTTTTAAATGTTTGTAATTGTCACATGAAACATTCAGAATTTTTTGTTTCCTAAAACATGGCAAATTTAGAAAAATTATAATGGTCACATGGAAATTACAAATTTATTTTCTACAACAAGGCAAATCTACAAAAAAATTGTAATGTTCACATGGCAAGTTTAGGAGTTTTGTTCTACGAAACATGACAACATTATTTTTGGAAATATGTAATGGTCGCATGGCAAATTTACGATTTTTAGCTCCTTAAAACATGAAAAATCAAGTATACAAACTTTGGTCCCAAAATGACGGCAAATTTAGAAATTTAGAAAATGGTTGTACTGGTCACATGGCACTTTCGCTCCCAAAATTATGGCAAATTTAGATATTTTTTTAATATTCACATGGTAAATTTAGGAACTTTTTCTATGTAAAGCATATCAATTTTTGAAAATATTTGTTCTTATCACATGGAAAATTTATTATCTGCGTAATTGCAACTCCCCCCCCCCCCCCCACCCCCCTAGTTTTTTTATGCCATGACAACTTCTATATGTTTTGTGCATGAACTCTTTTTTTTAACCATAGAATGCAACCGTATAACCCCATGTCATCTATACATACATCATCATCATTTTTACATATCATGGAAATTTTTACAAAATTCATTCTATAATTCATGGAAGATATATAAATTTGTAGTACTGGTCATATGGAAACTCTACAATTGTTTTGCTCTCTAGATCATGACTAATGTAGCCAAAAAAATAAAAAAAAACCCAATGTAGCCAAAAATTACTATTTTGTGTTTGCTAAAACTACGGCAGTTCGTAGACATTTTGTAATCGCCACATGCCAACTTCAGATAATATGTTCTACACAATCATGTCAACTTTTACAAATGTATTTACCGGTCACATAACAACTTTAGAATTTTTTGTACTGCTCACATGGCAATCTTTTTGTAAAGTTCACATGGAAACTTCATGTAGATTTTGTACACCATAGATCAGGTAGCGTGGTAAGGATGAAGAAATAGATAGGGGCGGGGGATTTGCTTGATGCACAAACCGCGCAGCGCGTGAACGGTTAGTCGCATTGGGATCTTGGGAGAGCGATCGATGCACCCTATTAGCATCCTTTTTTTGGAGCTAAAAGTAAAACCAAGTGCTTTATGCCGAGGATAAAACTAAGCAACAGCTGAG